CGCCTCCTGGGCGCTGTGCAGCCGCGGCGCCTCGCGAAGCCGGCTCCCCGAGCCCCCGGGGCTTTGAGAGAGACCACCCCAAGGCAAGGTAGGTGGCTCTCATGGAACTGGATTGGGCTTGACAGTAAAGATGCGATCGACTCAAGTCTTGGCAAACGTCCTTTCCTTTCTCTTTGCTTTCTAGGGGAGCTGCGGCGGCGGAGCCAGGGGCTTGGAGGAGCAAGGCATGTATTTTCAGCTGCGCCTCAGAAGAGGAGAATTCTGCCATCACCAGAGAGGCAACAGCCCTCAAGTGTGACTACAGCTGACTAGCTTGGCAGAGGCCTGGGAGTCTCTGGGTCGATAGCTTAGAATATGCTAAAAAGTCAGTGCTTTCCACGGGGAATTGAAGGGCCAGCTGGTCCCCGTGACAGTGACCTGGAGCAAAGGAGTCAGAAGACAGTCGCAGAGAGCAAGAGGGACCTTCCAAGGGGCCGACTTGGACTGCGGAGGGCAGGCTCCTGCCACACAATTGTCGCAGCCCTCTGATGGAATGCTGGTGAGGTCTTCCACCCAGGGGAGCAAGTGGGACTTCCAGGGGGCTGCCTGGCTAACCAGGACTCCTCCAGGTCTGACTGACCCCTGATCCCTGCTTAGGAACTTGACAGGTGTCCAAGCACCTTCTGTGCTCTCCCTCCGGAAGATGAGGACTCTGAACACCTCTACCATGGACGGTGCCGGGCTGGTGGTGGAGAGGGACTTCTCCTTCCGCATCCTCACAGCCTGTTTCCTGTCACTGCTCATCCTGTCCACACTCCTGGGGAACACACTGGTCTGTGCCGCTGTCATCAGGTTCCGACACCTGCGGTCCAAGGTGACCAACTTCTTCGTCATCTCCTTGGCTGTGTCGGACCTCTTGGTGGCTGTCTTGGTCATGCCCTGGAAAGCGGTGGCTGAGATTGCTGGCTTCTGGCCCTTCGGGTCCTTCTGTAACATCTGGGTGGCCTTTGACATCATGTGCTCCACTGCATCCATCCTCAATCTCTGTGTGATCAGCGTGGACAGGTACTGGGCCATCTCTAGTCCCTTCCGATATGAGAGAAAGATGACCCCCAAGGCAGCTTTCATTCTCATCAGCGTGGCATGGACTTTGTCGGTCCTCATCTCTTTCATCCCAGTGCAGCTCAGCTGGCACAAGGCAAAACCCACAAGCCTCTCTGATGGGAATGTCACTTCCCTGGGCAAGACGACAAACAACTGTGATTCCAGCTTGAGCAGAACCTATGCCATTTCATCCTCTTTAATAAGCTTTTATATCCCTGTGGCCATCATGATTGTCACCTACACCAGGATCTACAGGATCGCCCAGAAACAAATACGGCGCATCTCGGCCTTGGAGAGGGCAGCAGTCCATGCCAAGAATTGCCAGACCACTGCAGGTAACGGAAACCCCGTGGAGTGTTCTCAGCCGGAGAGCTCCTTTAAGATGTCCTTCAAAAGAGAGACTAAAGTTCTCAAGACTCTGTCCGTGATCATGGGGGTGTTTGTGTGCTGCTGGCTCCCCTTCTTCATCTTGAACTGCATGGTGCCCTTCTGTGGGTCTGGGGAGACCAAGCCCTTCTGCATCGATTCCATTACTTTCGATGTGTTTGTGTGGTTTGGGTGGGCTAATTCCTCCTTGAACCCCATCATTTATGCCTTTAATGCTGATTTTAGGAAGGCATTTTCCACCCTCCTAGGATGCTACAGGCTTTGCCCGACGACGAGCAATGCCATAGAGACAGTTAGTATTAATAACAATGGGGCCGTGGTGTTTTCCAGCCATCACGAGCCTCGAGGCTCCATCTCCAAGGACTGCAATCTGGTTTATCTGATCCCGCATGCCGTGGGCTCCTCTGAGGACCTGAAGAAGGAGGAGGCAGGTGGGATAGCCAAGCCCTTGGAGAAGCTGTCCCCAGCCCTGTCTGTTATTTTGGACTATGACACTGACGTCTCCCTAGAGAAGATCCAGCCCATCACACAAAACGGATAGCACCCGACCTGAGCTCCGAGGGGAATCCTGACAGACACGCTCATCCCAAAAGCTAGAGGAGGGGCTCTCGGTGAAAAAACTAAAGTGTGGTGAGACTGAGACATCAAAGGAGCCCTCCTCGGCTGCCTTCCCTCAACACACAACTAACTATGTTCAAAAATACATTCCAGTGTGTTTTCTGTGTTGTCCGTAGTGAATCAAAGGACACATGTGAAAAGAACATTCATAAGAGACGTGTCTTTGGCTCCGAAATTATTTTTAGAAACGGATTCATATCTTAGGACTTAAAAAATAGGGCAAAGACTCAACAAATGAGCAGCTTCACTTAAAAATTAAACGTTTCCGGGAAGGAAATGAGAAGGGTTGAGTTTGCTGTGTACAAACAGGTGCTAACCCTGGTCCAAGCAAAGTTTTCAGAGTGTAAAGGTAGGTGCATGCCTTCGTCAATTATTCCTAAAACATAATTGAGCCTTACAGTAAGAACGGGATTTTTTTTCCCCCCAGAATTGATGCTTTGTGGATATTGGTTTTATTTATTTATTGCATTATATGGATATTTTTAATTTATTAAAATAAATCTATATTTATCATATTTAATAGGTTAAACTAGTGAGTTGTCTGAGATCTTACAATTGCATTTTCGTCCATTTAGCTAGCACTTTATAAGCCAATGAAACAAACACACAGGCTTTCTGAGATTCTAAATGCTCAGGCATCACTTCCAGAAACAGCAGAGCCTAATAGAAAGTGAAGTTGTGATGATTCCTTAAAATTCATCGGCACAAATAAATACGAGGTGAGAATTGACAAATTCTGTGGTTAGTTTTTTTTCCTAAAAAGATTTGGAAAGATTTTAAAAAAGCATAACTACTATTGTGTTCAAGACTTTTAAAGTGGCAAAGACTTTTCCAGGAGGATGATTTGTAGTTCTGTAAATATCTGAAATACAAGACAGCCTCAGAAGAAAGCAACTTGAAATTTATGATCTTAGATGGTAATAAAAAGAATATGCCACTTTGTATTTATGTAAAATAATTAATCCTCACCGTCTTTTCTCATTTCCTGTGCCACAGAGCTTTTCTGAACCAAATACATGGCTGTCCTGGTTAGATATGTGTGGTGAAGACAGTGAGTTTCCTTAACGTTTGTGTCACAACAGTCTCACCAATGGATGGAGGTCCACTCCTGCATCTCCATCTTACGAAGTCAAAGCAGACCACTCAGTGGGGCTACTTTGTGTAGTTCTTTAATCTGAACTTAGAACTGATTTTTTTTTTAAAGTCTAAATGTTATTGGCATATTAACTAACAGACAGTGCCTCATTATCATCCTCCAGTAAGACACTTCTGTTGGTGGAGGAAACAGGAGACCCCCTTCTCCCAGGGTGTGCTAAGCAACCCAGAGCCATCAGCATCTCTTTTGACAAACGCTAGCCCTCCTCTGTGCTTTGGCATCAAGTTCCTGCGTCATCAGCCGGACTGGACTGTAAAAACTATCATGAGTCTCCGTCACCAAGCGCTAATTCATGCGGGGCATTTCAAGATAATTGTTTGGAAATGTTTACAAAGTATTCTTGTTGATAAGCAATTTACTTAACATTTAGATGAAATTGGTGACAAGAAAGGTATTTACTGAAAACGATCTCCTGCATCAGGTCTGTGTTATTTATGCATTGTGAATGTTTTCTTAATTTTATTGCCTGTATGCTTTCTTACATATAATAAAATTATTTTGTGAACTCAAATCAACCCTGAATGAACTGTGCTGCATTTGTTAATGGGCTTTAAAAGCTACGATACTTCAGATCTACACGTAAGAAAACATGGGCATTTTCAAGGATATGTTGCTTTTTTTTTTTTTTTCTTGTTAGTGGCAGTTTCTCCTGTTAAATATGCCACGTGTTGTGTTGCCTTTGAATATTTAAACAGGGAGTTGATTTGGGCTTGTTTGAAACATACTCTTGTTTTCCTTCTGTCTCAAAAGTATATATTTTTTAAAACGAAATCCTTCTTTGCTTCAGGAATTACTCTACATTTCATTTCACAGATTTGAAAGATTTCTAAAATCCTTGCTTTTTCTTTCAAAGAGCCCAGAGACTTTTAAATAACATTAAAAAAATGACAGAAAAGACTGTAGCTTGCTGTGTGTGATCGTGCACATTTACGGCAACCACGGTATGTGTAGTATTTAAGAGTAAACTATCACAAGAATTAATTTCTGGAGGAAATATATAGGGTGTGATCGCTGGGCTTAGCCAAAAGTCTTACAGGGCACATCCACCAATTCTGCCAAACCTGCTTACTTCATGTGCTAACCTCCCTCCCCCATCCTGTGTTTTTTGTTGTTGTTGTTGTTGTTGTTGCTCATCTCAAAGAAGGAGAATGACTGAACAGCAGGTGATGTAGAAATTTAGGGTTAAGTTTATCATGTGGAATATCACACAACAGATGGTGTCTTTTTAAATTCCATATTTGCCTTCCCCAGGCTTTGGCATATAATGAACATATCTAGAGTGAGCTCCCATAAAGCATCATGCCTTTTCTTTCTGCTGCCTAACTTTCTGCACATCTTTATTCTTTTCAGTTTAATTTTCTTCTTTGATTAGCAGTCCGGCAACATCAGCTGCGATGCGCAGGGTTGTCGTTGTCCAACCAACGAAACAATGCACAAAAGCTGCCACCATTTATTTCACTGGCAGAGTGAAAAATAAAGACAAGTCTAGAATCCTATTAAATAATTGTCAAATTCAGTCCACTGGGAATGAGAAGGTATTTCAGGTTCCTGGCATGTTGGATGGATAAAGGGTATCTTATGCAATGTTGATTTTACTGACAGACTCTTTCTGAGAATATAATTTACAACTATGAAAGCAAAATTAAAGTTATGACATTTCATTTAACTGTCATTAAGAGCCTTCGTAATGCTAAATATATGTGAGACACTTTAGCAAGACAGAGACCATTTAAAAGAGGTGTTCTTTTCCTTTTCCATCTAAGAAGACGCCTTTCCTGGTCACATAGATGCACAACTCTTAATGGTGATGGACTAACAGGAAGTGTTAAGGAAGGGTCACTGAGCTCTGGGCTCCAGTTGGTAGATTTAGAGTTTATGCAGGAAAGTCATTGGCTTTTCTTAGGTTTTAAGCAAGTCATGGTCTCTGAGTCTCAGTTGTCCTGATCCATTAAATGGGAGGAACAAACCCTCTGCATTAACTTCTTCAATGGAAGGAGTCCCTCGAGCAAACTGATATGCAGTCCAATCTCAGGGACTTTTCTGAATTCTGCACTTGCTGGGGGCTCCATCACGATTTCCTCCCCCAGGTCTGAACCAGCAACATTTCAGCTTGATCCTTCCACTCACTAGGAGCCAGTCCAACCGTGGGGACCTGGAATGCAGAAAGCCCAGGCTTTATTTCAGATGACCATGGGTTCACATTACAGCTACCACTTTCAAGCTGTGTGAGAGTAAACAAATGTCTGTACCTCTCTGAGCCTGTATGCCCATTTGTGAAATGGAAATAAACATGCAGGTCCTTGTGAGGGTTTCAATGAAGCTAATGTCTATAAACGCCCTGAGTCCTGAGATGTTGGCCCACTGATAATTGGCAGGATCTGTACTTTGCAGGAGTTGACTCCAATATTTATTGCCTTACTAATGATGGAGCTGCCAGGCATTTGTATTCTCGCCTGTTTGCTTGAAGCAGATGGAAACAACGTTTAGAGGGCATGTGGTTTGCGGTTCTCTCCGACACTGCTCTCTTTCGCTGTGTTTATCTAGTATTGTGGAAGCAAGTAGCTTTTTACATCTGTGTGGTTAAAACAATTGCATTAATTTTCCGCTAGATACTGACTACATCAATCTGTCTGCGGTGTTTTAGTCTGGGAAGCCTGCTTACCTTGCAGAATTTGTTTCAGGAATAATGAGCTGATGGCAGGTCAGCTCTGGGCTGTTGAAACTGAGACCTGCTTTTCTGTACGATCTGGTTACTGTGGTCATTTGAAGGGACTAACCCAGTGGGTCATGAGATGGGAGCATTATATAGATTAGATGCACCTCTGTGGATTTCCTTGAGATTTCCTGAATAGAAACATGACATAATCAACCTGTTTGTTTTTACAGAGGATTGGGGGAATGACAGGCATTACAGCTCAGAGAAACCCCTCTGAGATCTTGTTACTGGGCCAGTCTAGTCCGCTTGCCTTCTGTCATGTTAAGTAACTTCCACACGATGTCCTGAATTAAAAAAAAAAAAAAAAAAGGAAAAAAGAAGCAACATTTGGACTTGAGTCGGTTACATCATTCAAGATTTGGGAGTTGTAATTTAAATAGTATTAGAAGCTCAAGAATAATCTCTGGTTTAAAAGGGTTTAACTTTTTAATCACTATGAGAACATATCCAAAACCAGTTAAATTTTTTCTCATGCTCATAAAACATACATTCTACCAGCTCTCGGAATTGGAAAACGTTTTCAGCCGTTGAAAAGGCTCTTCCCTGAGCGATGTGCGCCGAAGTGAGCCCACCAGCAGAAACGCCAGCAAGGTGGCCAGTGGGGGCGGGACCAAGAAGGACTGAACTGTAGGGCAGAGGTTTTAATTTTGTTAAAAAATTTTTTTAAAGATAAGGAGTTTGGATAAAGTATCTTATAGCCCTTGAAAATAAGTTTTTTTCATCTCTACCATAAAGGGGTTAGAAGATGTGGTTTTACTGAACCAAACGTAGGTCTGCTCGCCCTCGTGCAGTAAGCCAACCTACTGACCCCGGGCTGTGGTGAAGGCAAGTGCAGTGTTTATTGCAGAGCACCAGGCAAGGAGTTCAAGCAGCTAACACTCAGAAAGCTCTAACTCTCCACTGGGTTTCAGTGAGGCATTTTTAAAGGCAAGGTGAGGTAGCCCCGGGTGTGTGATCAGCTCGTGCACAAGTCTCTGGTTGATGGGTTCACATTATTAATCTTTAGGCACCGGTAGGGGCTACATGTTCATGTCATCAAGTAGTTAATTTCTTCCTTTCATTCCCTGGTGGTTTTGGCATCTGAAAAACTCAGGAAATACGCATCAGATACTATCATCTAAGTATTTCAGAGAGGAGCTACAGCAGCAGATTTGGGGACAGGGTCTGTCCCAGGAAGGCCCCATAGGGTCCTGCTTGGTTACCATCTCTAAGATATTTTTTTGGCTTGGCAATTCTAGATACGAGCTCCATAACTGGCAAAACGTGAGTCTGGCAGGTTTTCCATATCTGTTCTCTGTGCTCTTAGGAATCTAACAGAGTGATATTTCCAAAATGCAAATACTAGGTTATGCCCTTGCTCATCACTCTTCAGTGACTTACAGTTGCTTTCAGGAAAAACAAAACACTCATGCAAGGCCCTTCAGGGGCAGACCCCTGGTGCTCTCTGTGGCTTCATCTATTGCCACGACCTCACTAAGCACTGCCTCTAAAGACGTTCTGAACTTCCTACTGCTGGTGGAATGTGCAAAGTTCTTTCTTGTCGCTATGCTTCGTGTATGCTGTTCCCTCTGCCTGGAACACCCTTCCCTGTTGCCTCTGCCTGCTCTCACCCCTCTTTTTATTTTTGTAATTGAAGTATAGTCAGTTACAGTGTGTCAGTTTCTGGGGTACAGCACAATGTCCCAGTCGTGCATACATATATTCATTTTCACATTCTTTTTCATTAAAGGTTATTACAAGATATTGAATATAGTTCCCTGGGCACTAGGGAAGAAATTTGTTTTTTTTAATCTACTTTTATATATAGTTATCATTTGCAAATCTCAAACTCCCCAATTTATCCCTTCTCATCCCCTTTCCCCCAATAACCATAAGATTGTTTACTACGTCTGTGAGTCTGTTTCTGTTTTGTAGATTTCTTTTTTCTGGATTTTTTTTTTTTAGATTTCATGTATGATTGATATCATATGGTATTTTTCTTTCTCTTTCTGGCTTACTTCACTTAGAATGATGATCTCCAGGTCCACCCACGTTGCTGCAAATAATATTATTTTATTCTTTTTAAATTGCTGATCCTACCCATCTTTTAAGATTCAGTCAAGCATAATGGCAGAAGGCCTCCCTTGGCCCTTGTTCCCAACTCTACCACTCCTCTTATTTCATTTAAAGGCTTTACCGTGCTGTAATGAAATAATCTCTGAACTTCCTTCTCTCTCTCCCTAGATTATGAGTTTATTGAGAGTAAAAGCTGCCTTCTTTTGGTTCCCCTTTTCTGTATATTTCTCTCTATATTTCTAAGCATCCAACACACAGCTTGGCTTATAGAAATTGCTCATTAGACCTTTGTTGAATGAATGAAAGAATGAGCAAGTCAAAACAGGAAATGTTGGAGCCATGACTCTAGTGAAGTTTATTTCTGGAGCCCTTGGTGTCTGTGCATAGTTCTGCTAAGCTCTCTCTAACATCCTTGGGTACAATCCCCGTGTGGTCTCTGAGGCCTGCAGTGCCCTGGGGTCTGAGTGGCTGTATAGAAGTCATTTTGCATACACACATGCACAAACTCCCACCCCACCCCCGCCACGTTCTTGTATGTCTTTATGTGACAACTGGTGCCATCTGCAATCAGTAACCTTTTGTGAGCCCTTCTGTGACTCAGGCCATGTGCTTGATGCTAAAAGTGAATCAGACACTTTCCCAGTGTTAGAGGAGCTGAAAGAAGTGATATGTATGCAAATAAACCATCACCAAGGAATATTTTAGAAATGAAATGTAAGAAGATGGAAAATGTTTTCTTTCAGG